CCAAGCTCTCTCTCTCCGCTCTCTATACCCTTATCCAGACCAAGTGTTACTATCATGGGAATGGACAATTCCCTGCAGGCCAAGTTTGACCTGGTAGGAATCTGGTCCTTTGTACCCCTCCTCCCCCTGAACTTTAAATGCCTCTATTGTGCTGATTTGTGTTTTTAGAATTTTATTTTTTATTTGGGGTGGGCGGAGAGAGAGAGAGAGAGAGAGAGAGAGAGAGAGAGAGACCCATCTGCTGATATGTTGGTTCATTCCCCAATGACCACAATAACTAGGCTTGACCAGGCCACAGCCAGAAGCCTGGAACTCTGACCGTGTCCTTCATGTGAGTGGCAGGGAACCAAGCACTTGAGCCATCTGCTGCTGCAATCCCAGGAACATTAACAAGGATCTAGATCAAACCAGCACCACTTGGGTTCAAATCAGTGCTAATATGGAATGTTGGTGTCACAAGTAGTGGCACAGCCCATTGTACCACAGTGCCAACTCTGTGCTTATTTCTTCTTTTCCACCTGAACTCAAAGTGGGTCTTCTTTGTTTAGTTTCTCTCTTTTTAAAAAGATTTATTTCTTTTTATTACAAAGTTAGAGATACAGAAAGGAGGAGAGCGAGCGCGGAGGATCTTTCATCCGATGATTCACTCCCCAAGTGAGCGCAATGGCCAGTGCTGTACCAATCTGGAGCCAGGAGCCAGGAGCTTCTTCTGGGTCTCCCATGCGGGTACAGGGTCCCAAAGCATTGGGCTGTCCTCAACTGTTTCCCAGGCCACAAGCAGGGAGCTGGATGGGAAATGGGGTTGCCGGGATTAGAACTGGTGACCATATGGGATCCTAGGCGCGTTCAAGGCGAGGACTTTAGCCACTAGGTCACGCTGCTGGGCCCCTGTTTTGTTTCTCGTGCACTGGGCACAAGAACCATTTGTATCCTTCCTTCTACATCATATCTGGCCTGGGTATTCAACTCCAGTGGTAAAGTAACAGTGGCCCATCTACCTCCCACAAGGCACAGGAAGTGGCATTCCCATGGCACTGCTTATACTGGGTTCCTTATCTTCCCTGTCTGGACTGAAGTGAGTAGGCACACAAGTGAGGTGATCCTAACCCTAACTCTAACTCTATGACCCAGTGTCTTACAGGAGAGTTGTATCTTATAGGAAACTACTCTCCTCCCACCGCTGGTAATCAGCTGACTGAAATCCCATGCAAGGCTGACAATGTTTTTGGAGAGATTAGGGAAGGACTCTAGAAGACATCAAGCCTATTAGCCCAGACACGATGTCATCCCCGGCAAACAGCGATGTATCCTAGCATCTGTCTCCCTCTACTTCTCAAGTATCCAATGCTTGAGGCCTTTTGCCTTTCCGTAGGTTTTGCTTCTTCTGATTTTACCTCTCTTGAGGGCCTTGGGAGGGGTGAGGGAACGGTAAGATTATACAAATGATGGGGGATGGATTGAGCGAGGCTTCATCTTCCAGGTGCTTCCTCCACGAATCATAGGCTCTGATCCTGTCGTCTTCTACTCTTGACTTTGCTGGCAACTTGAAATCCATCTTCAGTTCATCTGTCTGCCTGCAGCATGTTGTCAGTAGCGTGAGCCCTCGGTGGTCTATGGGAGCTAGAAGTTGTGGGAGACCAATGGAGGGATCTATTCCACCTTCACCAGGATGTCTGCACACTGACCCTGTCTTCCTATCTGATGTCACTGGCACACATTTGAGCCCGTTCCCTTCATTCTGGGGCCTCCCTTCCCCCTGCCCCATGGCTCTCTGCCCAATTCCCACCAGGCAGAAAGGATGTTTCTGTCACAAGACCTCTCTTTGATCTTTGGCATGCTTTAGGAAGACACCTGGAGAGTCTTGACTCATCAGGCCTGGATCCTGTGCCCCCTGCCCTCAGGGCCCCTTTAGGGACTGGGCTCCCATCCCTTGGACACAAAGTCAGCATTCAGAGAAGGGACACAGCCGTAACTCTTCAGTATTCTTGCAGAGGCCACACATAGTACTACATGCAAGGGTTTTATCAGTGGAAGTGTGTTTACCACAGCTTCCTGATTTGATGAGATAGTGATCTTGAACTCTTAGGAACCAAATGTCCCCATGTTCATCATAACATAGCATTTCTCCAGCTACTGGAAAGAGGACACAGAGGTGCTGTCTTTTGAGGGTTTTGAGGTAGCCAACACAGAAGTTGGTCCCTTATGCTCAGAGCATCTTCTCTGCCTTCCTGCTGCTCTCCCCGCATCCCTAAACCTCCTTGGTCCTTCTTTAACCCCCCAGGTTCCGTTTTTTTTAAAGGAATGACCATTTATTCAGCACAAGTCCATCCATGGTTCAGTCTTGACACTATTTCTGTGATTCCAGTCTCACATTCTCACTCAGGCTCCACAGAGTTTTCTCTGTGATCTTTTCCTGCCACTCCAATATCCAAGAGCTCATGCTTCATATCCGTGATTAGAAGTTTCAGCTACTTTTCCAGCTCCCCTGGCTTCAAGACTATGTAGTTCCAACTCATTAGGCCCCAGTAGAAAGTTTCCACAGTAGCTCCTACGATTCCTACTTACCTCTTTTTTTTTTTTTTTTTTTTTTTTTGGTCTTTGGTCTCTGTAGAGCCCTTTCCCTTTAAAGTCCTAGATTTTCATAAATTCCTCTGGGTCACTGCGCATAAACTCTGTGGAAGCTGAGAGAGAATGTGAGACTGGAATCAGAAATAGTGCCATGTAGTTGCTGGAGGAAAATTACTCTCCTCCTGCACAAAGTTCTCTCATTAATCCTGGATTCCCTACTTATACTGGCAAAGTGTCTGTGTATTTAGCCAAAGCCAACCCCTCTCTTTGGGGACTAGTTCCCATTTTTCTTTCTTTCTTCTGGAACAACTTGTTCCAGAAGTTCTGTCCTTATTCTTCTGAATCATTTATTCCTCTCAATAGAGTCCTTTCCATAAAAACTTTCAACGTGCTGTGTTTCAGTATTTTAAAAAGCCTTTAGGGCCAGCGCTATGGGGAAAGTTCAGCTGCTGTCTGCCTGTAGTGCCAGCATCTCATGTGGGTGCTGGTTTGAATTCTAGCTGCTCCAGTGATCCAGCTTCTGTGGCCCAACAAGTGCTTGGGCCTCTATACCCATGTGGGAGAGCAGGAAGAAACTTCTATCTCCTAGCTTTGGCCTGGTTCTGCCCCAGCTATTATGATCATTTGGGAAGTAAATCAGCAGATGGAAGCTTTCTGTCTATCCTTCTCTTGCTCTCATTCTGAATTTCAAATAAATAAAAAATGAATCCTAAAAAAAAAATCCCTTTGGTGCTATTGCCTCAACTTTTTTTTTTAAAAAAGATTTATTTTTATTATTTTTTTTATTGGAAAGGTGGATATACAGAGAGGAGAGACAGAGAGGAAGATCTTCCATCCGATGATTCACTCCCCAAGTGAGCGCAACAGCCGATGCTATACCGAGCCAGAGCCAGGAGCCTCTTCCGGGTCTCCCACGGGGGTGCAGGTTCCCAAAGCTTTGGGCCGTCCTCGACTGCTTTCCCAGGCCACAAGCAGGAAGCTGGAAGGGAAGCGGGGCTGCCGGGATTAGAACCGGTGCCCATATGGGATCCCGGGTGTGTAAGGCGAGGACCTTAACCACTTGCGCCACCGCGCCGGGCCCTGCCTCAACTTTTTAATGTGATTTTTTTTTTAAAAAAAAAGACCTTGAAGGAGCTGATTGCACTTGCTATGCCTGATGGTTCTTCTATCATCTTGTGAATCCTCTCTGGTCATATCTACCTGGCATCACCAGACTGAATGTGTACGTCTCTCAATGTCATGCATGATATTTGTGTTGCTAAGTCTGTCAGTCCTCACCTTGACATTTTTCATGCAGATGTTAGCTTTGCCTTGAAAAAGTTGCTAATACATCACTCTCTCCTAGTTTTCCTCTTGATTCCCTAGCTACTGCTTTTTCAGCTTCTCTGCTGGCTGGTTCTTCTTTTACTTTTGTGTTTCTTAAAGTAGGAATGTCCCAGAGCCCAGTTTTTAGTTTGTTCCTTCACTGCAGTGATCTTGTTTAGGTGGCTGTCCTACTTATCTACCTACCTACATACCCACCCATTTATCTATGTGTTTGTATCTAGTATTCTCTGCAGCCAGGACCCTCCCTAGGACGACCATGCTTCTGTGTTGAGCGTAAGACTTTTGGAGGCATGGGCTTAAGTGATGCTACTACAGTGATGGTAGAAGTATGAGGGTGAGAATGGCTCATATTCTGGCTGTATTTTTTGAAGGTAAAAACATTAATGTTTATTACTGGAATAGATGTGGAACATTAGAGAACATAGAGAACTGTGTCCATGCTTCTGGCCTGAACAGATGTATTTCATCTGTTGGAGCATATTTGCTGTATGTGATTACAGGGTGGTGATGGGAGGGAATCAGGAGTTTATATCTGTATAGTTGGAGCTGAGTGTTAGGGAATATGTGACTGTTTACCTTAGGAGACCATGAGATCCACTGTGTCAAGGCCTGTGTTTTGCACGCTGTTCTGTTTGGCACAGTGACCGACAAGAGTAAGTACTCAGATACTTGGATTGTTGAATGCAAGTGCTTAACAAGGTCATTTCCATTGTGACTCTTCCTCTTCTGACTATTTCATCATAACACCGCACTGGCATAATATTTTGGCAGCCTCCCCAGCTGACTTTGGATGCAATTAATATTAACTTATTCTCATGCAGGAACCATAGTCCTTATCCTTGGGGAGAGACATGAGACAAGAAAAGAGTTAGGCTGGGGTTGGGGAGTGAATGTTCAGAGTTCAACCTTGACCTCTAATGTCAAGACACTATAAATATGTCCTTCCTTCTCAAGTCATTTTATCTACAGATTAGGTCTGTGGGTGGCAAAAGCTGTCTGAGTTGTGGGTTGATGTTCCTTCCTAGGTAGGAAGGACTTCACATCCTTTCTCGTGTGCTCCCTTAATAAAGTACAGTGCAGACAAGGAGGAGACAGACAACTCTTGGCTTAGAGATATAGAGTATATTTGGGGTGGGACTCTGCTCACCTGTGCATTAAGGGAAATGACAAATGCAGTCCTCTTCAAGGCAGGCTTCAAGAGGATTGGGGGAACCCACAGACTCTTTCTCCTTGCCCTGGTGTCTTCATGAGCATACCAGTGTCTCTCTCTGAAGTGAGGGCTGGAGGCTAAGAAGCGTTCCCTGGTTGGGTGGCACGAACCATTCGAGGACAGTGCCGAGGGCAGTGGCGGGGGAAGGCCGAGACTGGGGCAGAGCCTTGCTGTTGGGAGCGGAACCGGAGCTTATTGTCTGGGGAGTGAGGGATCCTCAGGAGAGCCGGGCCCAGCAGTTTCTCAGTGGGAGAAGACTGGACCTTGGGGTGTGCAGCTGGCTTCTCGGTTTTACTTCTCTTTGTGGGCCTTTTGGCTGGAGCCTGTCTCTTTTCAGCATTCTCTTTTCTGCTTTTGGCTGCTTTCTCAGCTGCACAGAATGTGGATTCCAAGCACACACTGCCTTTGGTCTTGGGGTTAAAGGAGTGAAGGAAGGATTTCATCTTATTTATCAGGTTTGAGTCTGGAGGGCTGGGCCTCTTGTGAGGGTGGGCTGGCCTCACTTGGTCGTGAAAAAGCTGACTTGGCCAAGCATGGCCCTGAGAAAACTTAGCTTGTAGGAGTTGGCCCTGGGAAGGCTGGCCGTGGGAAGCCCAGGCCACCATAGGTTGGACATTCTCAAGAATCTTTGGTGGTTGGAGAGGGACATTTAGTTTGACTCGGCTATCTTGCAAGCCATTTCCTGAAGCTTTCCTCCCAGGGCTTCCTGGAGGTGGCTCTGGGGGCTTAAGCTGAGGGTGATTCTGGGGTTTGTGTTGGCAGAGATCGGCAAGATGAAAGCTCTGGCTGTGTCTCCTGGAGCCTCGCAGTGTCCTCTTCAGAGGCATCCCTGCTGGCCTTTGCTCTTCAACAGGGAGTCTTTCTTCTTGGGCTACGGAGGGCCCAAGACCTGCATCCCCTTCCCCTTGGTCTCCTGCTCCTCTGAGTTGCCCTGGGTCCTCTTTCTTCTTAGCCAGTGTGAGGAGTGGTGCTGAGTCCTTGCTCTTGCCAGGGCTTTGGGGCTCAGGGCTCCAGGCTTCTTCCAGGCTGGGGTTGTTCTCACTGGTCTCCACCTGGACATGAAGCACCTGGGCCTGTGTTGTGTCCCCACTGGGCTGAGAGATCGTGGAAGCCCAGTTGGCAGCCCCATGGGGCACTTCTTTGGAGGTAGGTTGCTTTTGGCTCTGCTGGATTGCCTTCAGCTCAGTTGCCAGCTGCTCCTTGAAGAGGACCCATTCAGGTTGTAAGGCAAGAGGACAACTTGGTCGGGTGGCTGGTTTCTGGGGTAGTGCTTCTTCTTGGTTGTTGACATTCTCAGGAGACTCCTGTGAAGACATGTTCTCTACATTTGCAATGTTTTCTTCCCTGGACACCCTTGCCCTGATGGGAATTCCCAATTGTATCTCTAAGACCTTTTTCCTCAGGTGGAAATTGAGTTTGGTCAAGATGTGTGTCTTGGGTGGGTCTGGATTATCAGGCTGTGTCTGATTTTCTGGAAGCACCATCTCCATTGTCCCTTCTGTCTGTTGTTCAGTCTGCAACTCCTCTGCATTGTCTATAGGCATCTTATTGTCATCTTGAAAGCCTGACTCAATACTCAAATGTTGTTCTTGAAATGATATCATTTGAGTTGGGGCCTCTGTTAGGCTCTTAGTAGACCCAGATACCGCCTCTGTGATTATGGGTTGGTTATTGATCAGTGGGGTAATGGCTCTGCAGAGAGCCACATAATAAAGAGCAGGCAGCCCCGACAGGAAGGCTAGGTACTTGTGTCGTAAAGTAGTCTCCAGTTTCTCAATGGCTTCCTCAGACAGAGCTTGGGGCATCTTATGACGTTTAGGGACAGCATGTGGTAAGGCCTGTTCTTGCTGATCAAGAACTGTTGGCATCCAGGACACAACTTCATAATGTGGGTCAGGGTCAGTTGCTTCCTGCAGCTCCAGGGTCTGGACCTCTGGAATGCAGGAAAAGGGAACCACTGCTAGGCCCCCAGGAATTCTGCAGCTCCAGGAGCTGTACACACGTGCAGGGACCTTGCCTTGTTGGATCTGTATACATTTAGAAGTGATGTGGTTCTGCAACAGTGCCTTGGCCTCGGTGAACAAGTGTGGCTTAGGGGTCAGTATTGGAGTCACAGTGGGTGAGAGCAGATCACTGTCCCTGTTGGTTTCTAGGGCTGTAGCCTGGGGTCTACTTTCATTGGGCAATTCTTCACTGCTCCAGGCAAGGACTGGCTGCTCAATGGAAGAAAGAAGCAGTTGGATGGATTGCTGGATTTTTTGGGGTGGACCCCAACGGTGATGGATCACCTGCTTCTGGAGGTGGAATTCCAGCATCCTCCGGGCATGCTCTGGGAAGAAAAGCAATTCCCTGGTGAGGACTGAGACAGGCTTTCCCGACCAGGAAGTTTTTACAGCCTCGAGAGACCGGGCTTTGCCATAGGGATCCTGCTGCATGGTGCTGTGGGGATGCTGAGATTTCCGGAAGGCAGCTGGTAAGCCCCACTGAAGCTGGAGCTGCCTCTGCAGCAGGTGCCATTCCAAGGTTTCATATTCAGCCAGAGTCAGAAATGGGACGTGGATCTGAGCTTGTTGATGGTCAGATGGAGACACCCAATTTGAGGAAGGTGGGGAAGTAGATTCATCAGGCTGGGTTGGAGTTTTTGGCATCAGAGGGAGGAGAGAAAGCTCCTTGAAGACAGAAGGATCCTTCAAGGAAGGCTTGGACTGATTCTCATTCTTAGAGATTCCTGGAGAGCCCAGGAGAGTGGAAACCAGTGACTCACTGTGCAGGGAGGGGAGGCCACAGAATAGCTGGCTGTATTTCTGTTGCTGGTAGCTTTCTGAGTCACAGGTTTGACCTTTAGAGAGTGAACATTGGCCACTTGGGTCTGTAGTAGCTGCAGTGTATGAAGCTAGGGCTACATGGGTTTGATTTTTCTGGCAGTGGTGATTTTGTTTTAAGTCCATTATGGACCATTCAGAAACCCAAAATTTCTGTATGGGCTGGCCAGTCATATATGAACCCCAGGTCTGATGGTAAACAGTACTTTTTTTTTCAATAGAGATCTTAGAAGCATTATCCAGGACATAGGAAAATGATTCATTTTTTCCAGGTTGCCAAAATAATGTTGTGTTTGGCATGAGCTGCCTCAGGGACTCCTCCACACGTCTAGGGAGCCCCCACCTCTGGAAGTGCACCCATTTTTTCACATGGACTTCAAGAAGCCTCAGGATATTAGGATTAAGAAATGGCAAGTCATCAGTGAGGACTGCATCTATATGAAAGGCCATCGGATGTGTCAAATGAGTGGCCTCTGTATTTAGGGACAGCAAAGAAGCCTGGGACTTCAAATGTTGGAATTCTTCTTCCTCAGTGACAAGACTGGAGGTGTTCTCGATGATCTCCTCCTGCTTCTCTGGAAAGCCAGGCTCCTCGAGCACTGAAGAAGCCATAGTCTCTGGGTCCAGGATCATATCTGGCATTTCAAATTCCTCCTCAAGCTGGAGGAAATCAAAATCAGCCCAGTGTTCTTGGATGTCAACTGTACTTGGTGACCTAGCAGCTGACTGGGGTAAGTATTCAGGATCTGTTACTTGTATCACTGTTGGGATTATAGATACCAGTGACAGCTCTTCGGAGTGCTCAGAATGTAGCTCTTGATGAAGCTCAAGGGACACATTGGATGTGGACTGAATCTCTAGACAAGGAGAGACTTGAGGTGGCCCTAGTGTTGTGGGGGAAGCCTGGATGTTCTCACCCTCCAGCAACTGGTGAATCTCCAGGGCCACAGAGTTGCAGATGTGGCAGCTGCGGTCTGCACACAGAAGCCGCCGCACATTTTCCTCCTCAGGAAGCCATCCCTGGCTGGGGAGGGAAATGCACAAATTGTTATATGGAGGGACATCCATCTTCTTGAGTGATTGTGGCCTGGAGACTGGCACTGTCCTCCCCAGGTCTTAGAGGAGGCCTGTCGCCTCTGGGTGTCTACCTCTTTGTGTGTCTTCCTAAGGTACACACCTTTTTGGCAGGGTATGATGGGTTGGGTCGAGGGCCTGGGTTTTTTTGGGTGAGGTCTCAGATAAGCTGTGGGAGGGCTGAGTCCTCAGAGAGGATTGAATCTTGACTAAATTTCTATGACCTTATTTATTGGAAAGCTAAATCAGGAGAAAAGAATCAGCCTAATTCCTTCCAGCTGGTGGGCCTAGGCATGGTACCAGGTAGAACCTGATCAGTCTTAGTTTAGGTAAAGAAAGCCTAGTTTATATTCAACACATCTAAAGTGTGGGAATTGAGGGACCCATAGAAACTCTGCATTCTGTGTGTATTTGGTGTTCTTGCTGCTACACCTAGCATTTCTTAGGAACCAATCCTATTCTCTAGAGATCTTACAGACTGGATAAGATGATAGATTACCACGTGAGGTCTGCCTTAGGAACTGGCTCCCTAAAGACAGAAGCAGAAAAGGTAATCTCAGCCAGACCCATGTCCAGCCAGCTCAGGGGTCCTCCTTCAGAAGGGTGTGGTTGTAAAGAGAACATGGCAGTGATGATTTCTTGATGCAAAATGCATTCTCTTGACTGAATAGCTTGTCTCAAGTCTTGAGTGCAGCCCCATGGAGCATCCTGTATGAATTAGGCACTAGGCAAATGCTGAGTTCTGGAACTGTTTTCAGCATAGCACTGAGTAGGACTGGGTGACCCGTCCCTCCTAAGATGTGCTCACTCTCCTCTGCCCTTACAACCTTCTCAGCTAGTGAAGCAGCCTGCACTATGTGTGTCTCCCACCCAGCCATTATTCCTCTCCTCATTTGCCCCAGACCAGATACCCATTACAGACCCATTACAGATACCCAGATACCATTACAGACAAGACTCAAACTTGGGAGACCAAAAAGAGCCAGAGATTACCTTTTCATGACTGAGATCAGCTCCCGTGGCTTCTCAGCTTCTTCCTGGGAAAGTCTCCTGGCTGAGAAACCAGGAAAGAGTTTTATAATCATAGGAGAGAGTCATCCTAGAGGTCTCTGGAGACCTTTGACCCTCAGCTAGAGGAGACTTAAATATGCAACTAGTAATGCTCTTAGGCCTGTGTACAATGTAATCACATACAGTTTACTCTCCTGTGCCTTTGAATTAGATTAGAGCATTCTTGGCTAGAGTACCAGGCACCTGGCATCAGGAATCATGAGGGACAGGAACCACGGGAACCTCACCCACAGTGGAAGGGAGTCCGGGGAGAGAGCAGGACTTTACCTCTTGATGCCGCATCTCTAGCCCTTTGCCTGACTTTCCGGTGACGCTTAAAGACAAAAGCATAAAACGTGAAACTGAGACACTTTTTTTTGTTTTCATGTCCAAAATGAGACACAGCTTGTAAATAAACTTCCCCTGCCTTTCTATAACTCTGTCTAATATTGACACTCTGTGCCCTGCCCTAAGATATCTTTTAGATACACCTCACATTTTTTTTTAATCCTAAATGTTCCCTTCTCTGCTTATTTTTGTCGTGGCTCTCTATTCTGCATGCTTCCTGTCCCATTCCCATGACAATTTCTGAAGAGAGCTTAGGATGACTCAATAGGAATAGTGGAACAGATAGTGGGTGAATGATTCTAACCATAGAACTTCCACCAGAGTCCACCAGGCAGAGAAAGCAGCGAGTGGGAGGCCTGTTAAGATGCAATGCACTAGTCCTTGTAGTGTCTAAACTGTTAAGTGCAATAGTTCTCCCACTTTTCAATTAGAATATGTTGCAGAGAGAGCCTAGCCAGGAATTGTGAACCCTGAGAAAAAAATTACAAAGTTAACTGAACATATAGTACAGTAAAAGGGGAATGAGGATGGGATTAACAAGGACACACACCAAGCACTTCAAGCTTGCATCAATTCCATTATGATCAGTGTTTGCCTACCTGGCAGCAGCTCCTTTTAGATTCCAGTGACAAACCACGTTGATTTCTTTTCACTTGCCAGATAAGTAGGATAAGGATGAAGATGGAGCCATAGGAATACAAGGGATACCCCACATCCCACAGACTAAAAGTAGGGTTCAACATAGTCTCAGCTTCAGGAGCACCAGACCAGCCATCCCTCTCTCTAGGCATTCGGGGGCTAGTGCTTGGTGACTCCCAGTGCCGGGCCTTGTCGTGTGCGCCTCACAGAAGACAGAACCAGACTCCCGGATTGCATCATAAAGCCCTCTTGTCTCATTAGGCTGTGCCATAGGGAAGCTCATGTGATGATTCGGTCTGCAGATGAGAGTGTCTAGTTATCTGTAATGATTATAGAGCCTGAAGTTAAGGTGCCACACTCACCAGCATTGCCTGTTTCCCACCATGTCTTAACTCTGTCCCTATACCAGGCTGAGGGCTCAGTTCTTGCCTTCATAGCAACTGTCTGATGACCTATCCTCAGAAAACTGAGTGCCTTAGCACTTTTATGAGAATGAGTGACTGTGACACAGGGACTTCCATCAACTTTCCCACATGCCCAGGAACAATTCCTGAGTAGGATGCAGGAGTTTAGGTGGGGGTGGTGGTGATGGTGGTGGGTCTCGTAGTGACTTGTATTTGGGAAGCTTCGATGTTTCTGGCAATAAGTGATCAGAAAACATTCATTCAAGAAGTGGAGACATGACTGATGTGGCAGGGAGAGAAGCCAAGGCCACTATACCTATCCTGTTGGTGTGAATTTATGGATAGGGAGAGCAGGTATACGCTGCTTTCCATGGAGAAATATTCATGTGACCCACGACTGTACTCTGCTCAGGGCTTGGTTTTGCAGAACTGATTCTACTTGGGTTATAGCATTCTGTCTGTCCAGGGAGATGGGTGCTTGCAGAGATGGATTAGTAGCTACTTCCAATCACTTCTCAAAAACGAGTTGCTGATTTTGACTGGATGTGTGTTGTTTACATGAACATTTTGTTTGTTTGCTTTTTTTTGCCCTCAAATCTGAATTTTGGAAGCTTTTAGGTAGGAAAGGTGTCTATTAATTCAGCCCCAAGACTGTCACTTTATTGTGCTGGTTACTGGCCTCTATGGATATTGTGACATGACTCCAATAACCCCAGAATTTACCAATATTCTTGAGAGGGTTTTACCTTGTGATAGTGATTTCCATCCAAGAAAGTCCTGGGGCCTGTTTTGTCTTTTTTCTAGTACCCAGTTTGCCCACCAAGAGACGTGGCAAGTACTCAGTATGAGTCAGTAGTGTCTATGGTACAAAGACACTCGAGTTGTGTTGTGTTCTTGCTCTCAAGACACTTAAAAAACTGCAAAACAAGAACCACATAATAGTTTCAATAGATGCAGAAAAAGCTTTCGACAAAATCCAACAGCTCTTCATGCTAAAAACTCTAGCCAAAGTAGGCATAGATGGGAAAATCCACAACATAATCAAAGCAATTTATGAAAAACCCAACGCCAGTATCATACTGAATGGAGAAAAGCTAGAACCCTTCCCACTGAGATCTGGAACAAGACAAGGATGCCCGCTATCACCACTGCTATTCAACATAGTCCTAGAGGTACTTGCAGAGGCCATAAGACAAGAAAAAGAAATCAAAGGCATACGTATAGGAAACGAAGAAGTCAAGCTTTCACTATATGCAGATGACATAATTCTGTACATAGAAAAACCAGGAGACTCAATACAGAAACTACTAGAACTTATACGAGAGTTTGGCAGAGTGGCAGGGTACAAAATTAATGAACGAAAATCAACAGCCATAGTGTACGCAAATAACACCAAGATGGAAGAAGATCTAACCAACAGGATACCATTCAAAACAGCAGAGAGAAGTATGAAGTATCTGGTAATAAATCTAACCAAAAGTGTAGGAGACCTATTCAAAGAAAACTACAAACTATTCAAAAAGGAAATTGAACAAGACCTCAAAAGATGGAATAACATCCCATGCTCCTGGATAGGCAAAATCAATATCATTAAAATGTCTATACTACCACAAGCAATATACATTTTCAACGCAATTCCAATCAAATTTGCCTTGATTTAACTTGTAATTTTTGTTTGGTTGTTGGTTATTTTTTGAACCTGTCATTGATACTGTCTCAACCCAGATGTTTCGAAGAATGGAACTTGCGTTATTTTTAACATATTGTTTACCCAATACTATGTCAATTAATTCCATAATGTTGTATATTGATACTGAGGTTTTGTTGGGGCTTTTAACTGACCGGATCTTTACTCTGTTAGCCCTATCTTCAGACCAGAGAAGGTCTCTCCAAGAGGCCACTGAACTTATCTGGACAATAAGACGCTGGACTTTATGCTAGGTATGTGCTTGCAAGGAAGGAATCTCAACTGAACTTGAACTGTGGTTATGCAGCAAGGTGGAGGAATCCACCATGGGGGGAGGGGTATGGGAGGGGTGGGGGGAATCCCCAGTGCCTATAAAACTGTATCACATAATACAATGTTAACAACAATAAAAAAAATAAAAAAAGAAAAACAGAATAAAATAGGGAACTATGCTGGTACACCGGTGTAGTTAACACAGAATTGGCATTAACCAGGCTCAGAATGCCCGCCAGCTATTGGTTGCTTTTCTTGCAATGGTATAACACTTGCCTAGGTACAAAACTACCTAGGCAGCTGCTTACAGCTGGGGATGGATATTTCATCGCTTAGAGTCTTTTGCTTTACCAAATAAGGCTTGCGTGGGTTTCCAAGGCATAAGTCCTTGTGCACAGGGATAAGGACACAGGCATTAGATATCCTAAGAGCTGACTTGATAGATAAAACTATGTGTGTCTTACAGATTAATGTTTCTCCATTGCTCACCAAATATGCATTTTCACACTCACCAAAACTGGGAAAGAGAACCTCTCTTCTCATACTTGTTAAATTTCAACAGTATCAAACTTCTGATCTTTGTCAATCTGATAAATAAAAACTGTATCATATATTCATAAATTTGCTTTATGGTAGGCTAACATATCTGGTTATATCTTGGAATGTTTGTTTACTTTTCAGTGAAATTCCTGTTCCTATCCCTTATTCACAGATTATTGGGTGAAAGATCAACTGTTGGGAAAACTTCACTGATTAATTTATAAGTGCTTTTCAGTATTAAGAGACATTAATTTTTTATGTATTGAAAATGTTTTGGGGGGCCTGGTACTGTAGCCTATTGGTTAAAGTCCTTGCCTTGCATGCACTGGGATCCCATATGGGCATTGGTTCATGTCCCAGCTGCTCTACCCTGCTTGTGGCCTGGGAAAGCAGTAGAGGACAGCCCAAAGCCCTGGGACCATGCACCTGTGTGGAAGACCTGGAAGAAGTTCCTGGCTCCTGGCTTTGGATCTGCTCAGCTCCGGCTGTTGCAGCCCCTGGGGAGTGAACTAGTGGATGGGAGATCTTTCTCTCTCTGTAAATTTGACAATAAAATAAATGAATCTTAAAAAAATTTTTCTCTGTTGTCATTTGATGCTTATGATGAGTTTCTGTCATGCAAAAGTTTTTGCATTTTATTTAGTCTTATGATTTCTGTGTTTTAAATGACACAATCTGTTTTTTTCTCTCTAAAGTTATAAAAAAAGTCCCTAATTCTTCAGGTGCTCATGATTTCGTCCTTTATGTTTATACTTTGCCCATTTAAAATCTATTTATTTACACATTTTAAAAAAGATTTATTTTATTTTTTTTATTGCAAAGTCAGATATACAGAGAAGAGGAGGGACATAGAGGAAGATCTTGCATCTGATGATTCACTCCCCAAGTGACCCGCAATGGCCAGTACTGTGCTGATCCAAAGCCAGGAGCCAGGAACTTCTTCCAGGTCTCCTATGTGGGTGCAGGGTCCCAAAGCTTTGGACCGTCCTCGACTGCTTTCCCACGCCATAAGAAGAGAGCTGGATGGGAAGTGGAGCAGCTGGGATTCGAACCAGTGACCATATGGGATCCTGGTACTTTCAAGGCGAGGACTTTAACTGCTACCCATAATCCATGTATTTATTATTTTTTTAATTATTTATTTTTATTGGAAAGTTGGATATACAGAGAGGTAGATCTTCTATCTGTTGATTCACTTCCCAAGAAGCCACAATGGCCGGAGCTGAGCCAATCTAAAGCCAGGAGCCAGGAGCCTCCCCAGGGTCCTCCAGGCGGGTGCAGGGTCCCAAAGCTTTGGGCCATTCTCTACTGCTTTCCCAGGCCACAGGCAGGAAGCTGGATGGGAAGTGGGACTGTCAGGATTAGAACCCGTGTCCATATGGGATCCCAGTGCGTGCAGGACTTCAGCCGCTAGGTCACGCTGCCGGGCCCTAAGATTTATTTTTAAGTACTAAGTAAAATCGATGCTTGGGGCCCGGCGCGGTGGCGCAAGTGGTTAAGTCCTCGTTGTACGCCCGGGATCCCATATGGGCGCCGGTTCTAATCCCGGCAGCCCCGCTTCCCTTCCAGCTCCCTGCCTGTGGCCTGGAAAAGCAGTCGAGGACGGCCCAAAGCTTTGGGACCCTGCACCCGCGTGGGAGACCCGGAAGAGGCTCCTGGCTTCGGATCGGCATAGTATCGACCCGTTGCGGCTCACTTGGGGAGTGAATCATCGGACGGAAGATCTTCCTCTCTGTCTCTCCTCTCTGTATATCCGCCTTTCCAATAAAAAATAATAAAAATAAATCTTTAAAAAAAAAATCGATGCTTGTATTAGTTAAGAATTGCATTTAGTGCACAGCAGGTTCTGAGTCCTGTAACAGTGCCTTGTGTCGATGGTTGTGAGTAGCTTTCCAGAAGTTTCGTCAATATCTGCTCTACCCTCAACATATTTGCCTTGTGTCTGACCTTTCTCCATACTCTCAGTGCTGTTTCAGCAGGAGACTCTTGTTCTGCTTAATGCTTATTACCCTGGTCTCCGTTGCGGTGATGGTGTATATGTGTATGTGAATGTGTGTGGAGAGTGTTCTCAGTTTTTCTGATTCAGCATCAGCTTTTTTGTGTGTTTGTCTGAAAGGTAGACAGAGCCACACCTAACCACTAGTTTTACTCTCCAGATGCCTACAACAATCAGGTCTGAATCCAAGAGTTCAAATCTCAA